AACTGGGCCCTGTCCCACAGCACAACTGTGCTGACCATTACAGCGCCCTGGACCTCGCTGCGCCTCCGCCAAGCGCTGCCCATTTGTCAGGCCGAGGTAAATGGAGCTGCACATTGGAGTCCAGGGACACATTGAGGGCTGGGTGATGGGGACAGACAGATCGCTCCATAAAGTGCTGCTTGTCACCGCTGCCTCGCCGTACAGTTCATCACTCGGCTGTAATCTCATTTAAGGAGCACTGGGGGCCCCAGAGGAGAATATTCCCAGTTAGCTTGGTCTTTGCAACCATAAAGCAGGAAGTGCTCCTTTTATATACTCTGAACTTTTAGGGTTTTTTAAGATTAATTATTACAGTGACTCATTGAGGGGCTTACTTGAGACTGTGTCAGCACTTTCCTGCTAACCCCCTATTTGTGACTGTAAATAGCAGTTCTTGCTGGACTCTGTGCAGACTCTGTAAGGAATACTTGGGGTTTTTCTTGTGACTCTTCTGTTCAGCTTTCTAAATTGTAAAATGAGGAGCAGGAAGCACAACTGAGGCAGGGTTTTCTAATGACAATTACTCCATGTTCACAGACTGAGCTGCAGTGAAGGAGCTGAGGTTACAGCCTGGGCTCTTGTGTTGTGGCTGCCTCAGTGCAGTTACAGCTCAGCTCTTCTGACTGCACTTTACTGGGTATTTTTAGAACTATTTTGATAACAGTGGGTTGATAAGAGTACATTTTTAAAAGCAAATCAAATTTAAATTAGAGGAGCCTGTGAGGTTTACAGTATTGTCTTAAAAGGAAGAGTGGAATAAACTGCCAATCTGCTGTAGTTTTCCTAAGCTGCCTTTCTTACACTTTCTAACTGTTTATAGCTTTAAATGGTTCTGCTTTTGCYACCACTTAATTTTTAAAACAATCTACATGTACTTCTTTGGTTTATTTACTTTCACTATAGTACTAAAATAACCTTAGTTTGCAACAAATCATTGACAGTCTTCTGGCAGTTGAGTGAGGAATTACTTGCTTACCAGGGTTTTATTGCCCAAAACACTGAAGGAAGGGTACAGGAATTATTTTTGCAGCATGGCTGTATTGCTCTAGTCAGCTGGGTAGGAAGCGTAATTTGATTTGTACTTTTTTATCAAGTGTAATAGTGGTAAAATTTGGTGTGAAGTAAGAATTGYTGCTGTGTGTGTAGTTGACTGGAAGCTGTGCCCCGCTTCTGTGGCTGTTGGCACAGGAACACTGTCATTCCTGCTGTTCAGAGGGCACCAGGGAATGCAGGGCAGGCTCTGGGTGAGGGCAGGCAGGAGCTGAGCTAATTTTGGGCTCCTCTTGAGCCGCACTTGGGGCTGGAGCAGCTGCACCAGGGAGCTGCCACTCCTGGCACTGCCACTGTCACATGGCAGGGTCCTGGCACGGACAGGCTGTGGAAATGAGGCACTTTGGAAAAAGCTGCATTTATCAAATTTAGCGTTGACCCCATCTCTTGTTCCTGGTGTCTGGAGGCAGAAGATTATTCCAAGGTGTGAAATGGCAGCAAAGCAGTGAGGAGTGAGCCTCAGCATTCCAGCAGGGTCTGCTGGGTGAACTGAGCAGCAACTGCTGCACACAACCTGGACACAAAACAAGTGTTACATACCTCCATGTCCATGGGTGTGTTACCATTTCTGTACTGGAACAGGCAGCTCTGGTCAGYGTTTTCAAGTAAGTTACTTACACACCTTTGAGTGAAAGTCAGGGATCTTGGGTGCTCTGGTCTGTTCTTTCTAGGCTACTGAAAAGATTTGTGTGTGTGCATATACATCTATATCTTTATTTTGTAGATTTATACACAATCCATTTTCCTTGCATTCTGATCCTTTGGCCAGGTGATGGGGCACAGGCTCTCAGCAAACCCTGCAGTGCAGTGGGAAGGGTGCAGGGCCCAGGCTATGTCAGTGAAAATGTGTCCTTTACMCGGGGGGTTCCCCAGCCTGGCTTCCAGCAGAACTGGGCCCGTGTTGGATGGTTCCTGGCAGTGCTGAGCTGAGCAGAGCTGAGTGCATTTTCCACCAGCTCCATTAGAACAGCCCCAGCCCTGCCCAGGAGCTGCAGAGGGAGCCAGTGCTGCTGGAATGATGGTGAAGGCTGCCAGACCAGTCCTGTTCTACTGGGGAGGGGGGCATGTGATGATTACAGATCTGGTGTCATATTTTACTGGATATTTGGATGAATTTGAAATGTTTCTGTGTAAAAGATACTCCTGAGTGTAACATGGGCACTGTTGCTCTCCGGTTCCTGCTAACCAGTAATTGTGTCTCAGGTACATCCGGTACTGTACCAAAGGTTTCTCTTTTGTTTCAGGTAAGTGGTAAAAAAGTGGTAACAATGGCAGTATTTTGTGATTGAAGGGTTTAGCACATCATTTATGTTCCAAGCTCAGCCTGTGCAGGCCTGGGGAATAGCAGCACTGGTGCAGTGACCCCTTTTTTCCCTTTTGCAGGAGGAGGAGGCCAAGCAGCTGGTGCGAGACGCCATCGCAGCCGGCATCTACAACGACCTGGGCTCGGGCAGCAACATCGACATCTGYGTCATCAGCAAGAACAAGCTGGACTTCCTCCGTCCCTACGATGTGGCCAACAAGAAGGGGGACAGGTCAGTGCTCCTGAAGCTCTTGTGGGGTCTCTGCTCTGCCTGGCAAGGCCTGTTTTCAGTAATACCAAATTCTGTCAGTGATCTCCAGTCTGTATGAATTTCAACTGTGCAAATGAGTGGTTGTACCTGCAGCTGAATAGAGGCTGATACATTGAYAGAATTATTCTAAAGCTGCAAAACATAATTGTGCGTTCTTTGGTTTTTGCACAAATTTCCCTCACCACTTTGAGAGCCCACTGATTTCGATGAAAATCTTTCCAGTGATGTGGCAATCTTTTTTTTTGTAAACTGAGTTTTCTGAGGCTGCTATTGKATCTGAAATTGTGACACTTACTGCAGTCAGTCTGGAGTTTGCAGTAAGCACAGTTCCAATACTTTGGATTTTTATAGGAAACTTGTAAAGCTGATCAGTTCTAAWATTTTAAATGCAGGTTTTCCTCTGTACCATCTTCCAGGCTAATTTTCCCCCATTTCTTTACCAGGTTTGGTAGGTACAAGTGTGAAAAAGGAACAACTGCTGTTCTCACAGAGAAYGTGGCACACCTGGAGCTCGAGGTGTTGGATGAGACCGTGCAAACCATGGACACATCCTGATCCCGTGGCTGCTCAGACAGCAGCTGGTGCACAATAAAGAGGGCTTTGTCCTGTCTCCTCTGTGTCTGTACCTCGTGCTGTTGCTGCTGCTCCTCCTTTAGTGTAGGTGAGGTTTGTGCAGCCCTGAAGGGCTCTGGGACTGACCAGAGAGATCTGAGCAGGTGAGAGCCAGGCTCCCCTCCAGCACTGGGGGCAGAAAAGCAGATTCTTTGTTACCTGACTCCAGGAACAAAACAGCAGGAGTAAAACTGCTCTGTGGAATTTGTAAGTTTTAATTGAATAGAAGGTAAGGAAACGGTGAGCATTGGTGGTTCTGAACTGCTGCCCTTGGCSTCCAACAGACACTGCTTTCCTTCTCCCTCCCTGCAGGGTCTCACTGGTCATCAGGGGATGSTGATGTTACTGCTTCCCAGGTTTCTGTAGGTACAGGCAGGATACAGGATACAGGGCAGATCCAGCATCGTTTCCAATCTGATTGTCTTATTATTCACCTCCAGTTGGACCTGTCCTGTCCTAAAATCCTGAGCTTGTACTAAAATCCTGAGCTTAACTAGTCACGTTAAACTGCTTTCAGACTGTTTCGTACAGCACCCCATAATCCTGAAAAAAACAGCCAACAGAAACCCCTGCAGAGTTATTTTCTAAGTCAAAACAGAAGGAGTTGACATTGATTACATCTACAAAAGGTGAATTGGTGCCAGTGCCCAGTCATGGAACCCTGCAACAAACATCCTGGAAAAACAGCTCTGATGTGCCACAATTCAGAGGGTGAAGACTTTAGTATTTCCTTTAATACTGGACTTTTTGTTTTTTAAACAAAGGTGTTTATTTTGGAAATATTTTTTTATTTATTTAAAAATGCACAATTGCAAAAAATTACCTTTTGAAATACATTTCTTTATAAGCACTAAGAAATTTTATGTAGCAAGAACGTGACCAGACTTCTCCAGATACTCACATAGGAGCTGAGCTTCCCGGGAAGCTGTGGCTCCAAGGAAAGCTGCAGTGGAACAGGAAGGTTCAGGTGGAACCTGGGAAGTGCTAAAGAAGCTGGTATCAATAACCAAGCTGGGAATGGTGGGAGCAGTTTGGTGCCTCCACAAGGTTCTCCTGCTGATTTGAATTTCCYGTATCTCTCCTGAGAGCAGCAGCCCCAACTTTCTGCTGAGAAGCCCCAATATAATGGCACCTTGCATTAGTGATACCAACCATATTCACAGCAATTAATGGCTTTTCTTGGTACCCTCTATAAATATTCCTAAATTTGACAGAAAGTAGTTAAAGATGGCACTGCAGTTTTCCTTTAAGTAGAGAAAAGAAGGTTAAAAAAAATCTACTAAAAGCATATATATGTATGTAACCCTCTAACCCTAATCTTAGTTCAAAAAAAAATTAAGGATTGTAAGCTTTCCTTAAGAAAAAAAGGCACAGGCTGCATTTGAACTGTCACACACAAATGTACACAATGTTGGCACTGGAGCAGCACAGGCTGAGGGGTTCCTCTGGAGCTCCTCCTGACAGGCACATGGAATGGAGACACTGCAACGTGAATCCACTGTTGGCTGTTCCTAAAGCAGTGAGCATTTCCATTGACAGTAATGAAACAAATCATTGATTCAATGAATCAGTTTTCTGGTTGACAATTTTCATGCAGTTAAAGACGATGACTCCTTCAGATCAGGTTGAGATTTTATAAACATTCACATTCTGTAATGAGCTTTCACAGTTTGAGAGAAGGGGCTGATCCTATACAGAATTCCATACACAAAGCATTTATTTAAAAAAAAAAAAATTTCCAAGTGTTTAAACACTGYTGAAGTTCCACTGATAGTACGCGACGTACTATTGAACGTGTAAAAGTCTCTGCACCAAAACTGAGTTGGCTTTGATAAACACTGGTTTTAAACAAGAACCTGGAGGTGAAGAAGAACCATTCCAAAAGGGAAAAATGAGGGTAAGGAGTGATTCTCTGCAGGAGCAAGGCTGGTTTGGGTTTGCTTGGCATGTTTGTCTTCTCTTCCCCAGGCTCATGTTTAACTCATCTCTGACAGAGAGATGCATCAGCAAAATGCTCCAAGTTTTCAATTAAAAAAAAAGAAATCACAAAACTAAAGTGTTTCCCACCCCACAACCCTTCCCAGTTCCTAAGTCTGAAGAGGAGGGAATTAATAAAAACATAAATGGCTGCTTTAAAATATACCAAGTAAAAACTGAATTTGCTATTAACCATTTGCGGAAGAGGCAAAGTAGCAGTTATACAAATTACACAAAATCTACGGTAATTCTTACATTAGTATAAAGTGATTTCACTGAAGGAATTATTTTAATATTTCACATTACAGTTAAGATAGAAGGCCTGGCAAAGGCCGAGCCCTCAGTAATAGCGGCTATCCTAGATTACACACAACAGTTTTAAGAAAGGACCCTTAAATGATCTACATCCRTAACATTATTGGCCTTAAAAATRAAAAAAAAAAWAAAAATCACTTGCAATACCTCACAGAATCTTCACGTTAAAGCACGACCACCTGTAAGAGTCCTTGTCAAATAACCTGCAAATGCTGGAGCCTCTGCTGCGAGTGCTCAGCCTCCCCCGTGTGAGCTGGCACCAGCCGCTTTCAGCTGAGAAAAGGATTCAAGTAAGACTGAGCTGTGCTGGTGGCCACGCTCATGTGCTCGAGGTCCACACGTGCATTTGTTTGGCTATTTGGTGCACGTAACCGATGTCAGGCCTCTGGTCGGGGTCGGGGTATATGCACATGCTGACCAGCTCCCGCAGCTGCAAGACACAAAACGGGACAAGGTCAGGGGATGCACTGCTGCTGCTGCTGCTGCTGCAACGCCTGGCCCAGCTCTGGAGGCTGCACCCGAAAGGGAAACCTCTCCTGTGCAGAGCTGAACAGGACAGATTGCAGGCACGTCTGTCCCGTGTCTGTGTCCCACCTCCAGAAGGGCCAGGAAGAACCTCTGCCACCAAATCTGCACTGAAGATTGAAATTTTCCCTCACCCCAGAATATTTGACCAGC